AAGGCCTTCTCAAAGTCTATAAAGTTGAGGTAGAGGTTTGATTGCCATTCCATGCTTTGTTCGATGATGATGCGTAGAGTTGCAGTTTGGTCAGAACATATGCTGGCTAAATAGTGACAAGGGTGTTCATATACATATATATTAATAAAACCATAGTTGCTGACTAGGGAAAGTTCATGTTCTACTGTATATGATGGATTACGGCGATCCTTTGTGTTGTCTGTAAATACTGAATTGAATTTGCAACACGGAACTTTGCATATAATTACACCAGTTCAACTTGTCACACCTTGGACACGTATGTCCTAGCCAATTCAAACGATGATGCTTCACAATTTCATGACAATTGAATTTGACTTCTTTCGTAGTATTCTACTGTTAACTCCCTTTTTTACTTATCATATAATACCATATAACACAAGGAAATGAACTCGGACAACTATAGTAAAAAAATGTTTTTTAATCTTTCACCTTTTTGAATATTAAGGGAATTTCTGATCTCACTAATATAATTATTCTCCGCTGTAACAACTGGAGGAATGACATCAAGATAGATTTTAATCTATAATGACTCATCTTTACTAAGGTAATGATAATCTAACAGCTGGAGACTATTGGTGATATGGCTCTGATGGCGTTGTTTTGTTCAGCCTTTGTAATTTCCTGTATTTATTATACTCTCATGTTTATCCATTTTACTGTTTCTGCTCATTATTACTCCTTTGAATTCCTTTCTCCTCTCTTTTCTGTACCTTTGTGTGCTGAATAGGGTATGATAACTTGAAACGCTGCACGTCTGCTCAAAGTCTCTGTTCTACTTGCAGGACAAGAGGTGAATAATAAATGATAATAACAATAATAACTCATGGCTATTTCAGATAGTCTCATTATTAATTCATATTTCCAAGAATTGATTTGCAGGGATTTGATTGGTATTTTCAAGCTTGGCCACGGATTCATATCAGACATAGAACCATTAAAAACTAGAGAATACTGGACAGCCGTTTCGTCCCAGTTTGGGACTCATCTACAGTACATTCCCACTGGGTTTCGAACCCAGGACCTCCTGGTTACGAGGCAAGCTCGTATACCATTCAGCCACTGGGACTCGACTCAATGGCCAGTTCATGAATTCTAACTTCTACCAATTCGTAGTTTTAGCGCGACTGGCTTCAACCAATGTCATCGGCGGGAACTCCATCCTCGCTACCGACTCAATGGACCCTACTGGTCACGACCTCTGACTAGAAGTCCTAGCAACTTCGTCCTGTAGTGAGTCACTAGCGAGCATCAGATTAATTTTCAAGTGTTGATTTGTAGGGATTTGATTAGTATTTTCAAATTTAACCCCGGACTAATATCAATTAGAGAACCACTGGAAACCAAGGAGTATTGGACAGCTGTTTTGCCCTAGTTTGGTGATCATCGAAACATTAGTCAATACTGTTTAAAACTATAAGGAAACATTTTATCATTTAGTTATATGACTCATATCTGATCATGTTTACAGTTGAATTAATCAAATCCTTTTGCCTGTATTAATCAGCAACAGACAACCAACAAGATTTAATATTGTATTATCTTCAATTTCTTAATAACTGTCGAAATCGATTATCAAGTCTACTGTATTATTATAATGTCGTTAGAATGAATCTCATCACTGTTATTTGACAACAAATAAGCTATGACCGAATGGTTATATGGGTTCACATTGAAGTGTAAAGCATGACACTGGTTATCATTTTCATTGGCATCAGGTGATCAGTAGTTGTTATAAACTGATCGCGTTATCTTAATCTTCTGTTTTAACTGTACATGATGAAAATATTTTCATAGTTGAAGTTCATTCATTCATTCACATGCATTTTATTGATTTGTTTACTGAGTTTAAAATTTGAAAAGAGGAATAAATTAATCAATCTGAAACATACTGCTGACCTTTTTTTTTATTGATTTATGCTTATTCGTGTATATATTCTTCATGTAGTATGCATTATTCTCATTTCAAGTAGGTATATATGTATATGTATAAATGAAAATGAAAGCATATGTTATCTTCACTTTAACCGTCTTTTAAAGAGGTATTATCTTTTTCTAAAAGTGTCCTTTACCATCAATTTTAAACTAACTAATCGTCTTCTATTTATTTAGATTTATCTTTATCTATTTGGTCAATCGCATCAATAGTTGTGTTAATTGTGTGTTGTTGTAAATTAAGTTCATTAATTTGAACTGATGCACCATAATCCCATCTACCGTACACTAACTAGTATGTAGCATAGTGTAATTATGCTTATTTTCTTAATTTTTATTTATTGTATCAAGCAGATCATATATATTGTGTTTTGAATATTTCGAATTTCCTATACTATAGGAAATCATGATGAATTTTCACCTTGAACTGTATAAGTTGCAAATAACGAATTTGACCCACCGGTTACTTATTTACTTGGTTACTTGGGGATAGTAACAGTTATTTTCAAGAGTTAATTTGTTTTTAGAGTTTGACCACGGATTGATATCAGTTAGAGAACCATTGGAAACCACCAGGGAGTACTGGACAGCTGTTTCATCCCAGTTTGGGACTCATCGACAGTATGCATCTACTGGGTTTCGAAACCAGGATCTTCCGGTTACAAGGCAAGCTCGTAGACCATTGAGCCGATGATGATATTGGTTGGTGGTCACGTTAAAAATCACGAATTGAGTGAAGTTACAATTCATGGACCATTGAGTTGGGTCCCAGTGGGCAAATACTGCCGATTAATCCCAATCTAGGATGAAACAGCTTTCCAGTACTGTCTGGTTTTCAACGTTTCTCTAAGTGATATCAATCCGTGGGCAAACTTGAGTAACAATAATACCAGTTGTCAAAGATGCACCAATGAGATATGTGGTAATCATGAAATCTCTAGTATTCAAATGTCTTGTTGAATATTATATAAGCTTATTTACTCATTCATAGTATTATGAAGTGTACGATTTATGCCCTAACACTAAAGACTGTGGAGCTATGATTCAGTGGTCTAGGCGCTTCAATCTAACCAGTGGGTCACGAGTTTGAACCGCGCTCCACTCACTGAGGTTTGGGCTAGTATAACCAGCCATTGTACATCAGGTGTGGCTCATTACCACTTTTCTGGAAATTACAAGTGATTGTTGAGTAACACAGAGATTGTTCTCTGTACACTAAAGATTGTATAAAACTGCCTTATAAATGAGAACTATTTCTTAGTGCATATTTTTTTCCTGTCAGTTATCAAATCACTCCCATAGGTTCCAACTCATAAATGGGTTAATTATAAGTAGGATTAAATGACATAGTCTGTTGTATTATGTAGTTGCTAGAGAAGCTATTTTCTGAAGTTGTTGGTTAGAAAGAACTCTAGGTTTCATGCAGGGCGTTACACGATGCTTGTATGCTATCTTCAACATGTTTGAATTAATTGGTTGGTTATCTTGTAACACCAGAAGACAAGGGCCAGGCAACAGATCGTTTATTAAAGAAAATCAACACATATTTATAGATTTTAATGTACATTATTGTAGATTATTGTTAGTAGAAAATACAGTCTTTTGATTGGTTGTTTCTCACAGAAAGTTAACCTTGCATCTCTTTGTGGCTGTGCCAGATCATCCATATGCTAACTGTATCCGCCTACGCAAAGCCTTTGTTCTCATTTTCTCACCACCAATATTATGGACATAAACATTGACGTCAATTACTGTTTACCAACTTTGGCTAGCAGCCAGCTCTCACCACAATCTTAGTTAGTTCAAATCAGATATATTCTCTTTTCATTCTCCTTAATAATCTCGAAAACTTTCTTACTGTACATGTATTGTGTCCAGCATTATTTGTATCTTTTCATTTCTTTTAATGTCTACTTTCTACAGAGGATGTCTAAATGAACCGGTAGACTCAGCCGGTTGTGCATTAGTGTGTGTTCACGGACCAAACAAATAAGCTAAGATTGTCAAATGTTAGAGACACTTGTTAAGCATAAATTTAAGATATACACAACTGTTTATATTATATTGTCCCTACACCTAGAATACTTTAATCATACAATATAACACAACAAGAATATACATGCTTTTATATCTATCAGAAAACTGACCACACCTATTGTATGATGGTTGGTCAAAAATCCTTATCAAGTAAGTAAAGGTGGTTTCTCACGTGTCAGTTGTTGTTTAAAATCAACTGTCTAAACATACATTAGATTTATATTTTGACCAAATCAGTCTGAGTTAAATAGGTGTAACATCCAGTTTTATTTACCGATAGTGATTTCGGTGCACTCTTGGGCAGATTGGTCAACATGATCGCTTTTCTCTTTGTATTCTAAGCCTGGTAATATAATAGTGTAAATCATCGCGTTACAAATTGTTTAACAATGGATTTCATAATCACTTCTGATATGTCGAAGTTAGTTGATAGCACAAGTGAATACATGGAAGTGTTAAGGCACACAACGTCTCTTTTCCAAAGTAAAAAAAACAAAACAAACTATTTCTCCGAATTGGTTTGTCGGTGGCACAGCGGTTAGAACGCTCGCCGACCATGCACATGGTCCGGAGTTCGATTCCCGGCTGACGCACTCCTTTACTTCGCTAAGCCAATAATAGGACTGGCAAAGAGGAGAGGTTGGGCATGAGGCTAGCAACCCCATCCTGTAAAAATAAACATTGCTACAGAAACTTCAAGCCTCCAACCTGAAGCCCTATTTTTTCACTGGGAACGTGAAGGAATAAAAAAAATATTTCTCCGAATTAGCTGGGTTGGCTGTTTTCTTTGTTCTAAGGTGACTGTAACAGGTTGAGTTTCATAATGTTGAATGCCTAAATCATTGACTTGTCTCAATATTACTGACAAGATCAAATCTTTGAATTAAATTGTCTTAAAATTACTTTTGAATGTTATTCTATATTTAGACAACATCTGTACACATTATACACATACGTCTATTATCCTAGTTGTGTACACTTTCTTATAGGAATGCTGTGTAATCAGCGATGAATTGAATCATACAAGTCTTGTCCTTGGCTGTCGGTTAACTGGAGCAACAGTGCGCCGTTTCAAGCACAATGATATGGAGGATTTAGAAAGGGTTCTACAAGATTCTGTTGTTTATGGTCGTCCGCGTACCCATCGTCCTTATAAAAAAATTCTGGTTGTAGTCGAAGGTATTTACAGGTGAGTGGTTTTATCAAAACCTATTCTGTTGTAATTTATTTATTAAATATTTCACACCATTTTTTTATGATCAATAATTCAACTTGTCTTTTTGTTTTGTTTTAAAAAAAATCAATTTTGCGTTTTATAGTGTTGTCCAACATTTTCTGGGTGTGTTAAACTGTTCAAAGACAAATTGAGTTTTTCAAATGAAGAGTTTAAAATACATTATGTGGACGTCTAAACTAATCTCAGATTTAATGGTTTAAATACACAGCTGATTGATTTATGTTGAAATTACTTCTAATACACTAAAGTGTTATCATTAATTGGGATTAGTGTGAAGGAAATAGTCAACCTATGATCAAGTGTATTTACTATTGAGTCAGTAATCTAGCTTTAGTAGTAGCTGAATTTGACCAAGTAAGTGAAAACAGATTTCTACACGAACTGGCATACATTAGCCCGACCGACAGATGCTACCGTGACATGGTGGCAATGATTACCCACTGTAATGATCCAATTAGTTTTGCTATTTGATACAAATGCTCCTACCAGAAAATTTGGTTGACTAGTTATGAGACTAAAAAAAGCAGTGTAAGCTGATTGCCCTATGGCGCGTAATCTAGGGATGAAGTTGTGTTACTAACAAATATTGGAATAGCATCAGTAGACTGTCTCAGTTCATCAAACGGCTAGCAACCCAGTAGTCCTGCTAATAACCCCTGGAGGATGGTTTAGAAAGTGTCAACACTAAAATTTTTTTATCTGGACTCACCGTATGACTCTGTGTAGCCGGTAGTATGGCTTTTGAACGGATATTACCACCGAACAGACTGTGAGTAGTCGGTCTAAGGTAACAATTCCGTCGGGCATTTCAACACATAAATTTAATCCTTCTTTTTTGAGTATTCTAGGTAGAAACTGACTACCATGGAGTAGACATCCAGGAAGTACCAGCTTCCCACACACTGCAGTCAACATAGAAAATTCTGGTTACAGGATTTCATCGTGAGTTGACATCGGTTAGAGAATCATTGGAAAACCTGGGAGTACTTGACAGCTGTTTCATCCTAGTTCGGGACTCTTCAAAGTACTCACCCTCCGGGACCTAGCCACTGCCTGTATTCAGTTAGATAGTTACCTCCGGTTCTAGTGGGAAGTCGTGACCAGTAGGGTACAGCAGGTCGGGCGTGAGGACAAATACTCACCTAAGACATTGGCTAGTGGTCGCACTGTGTCGTGAACTGGCAGAAGCTGGAATTTATGGGCTGGCCATTAGATCGGATCTCAGTGGCTTAATGGTCTACGAGCTCGCCTTGTAACCAGAAGGTCCTGGGTTCGAACCCTGGTAGTGGGTGTGTACTGTTGCAGAGTCTCAAACTAGGATGAAACGGTTGCCTGGTACTCCCAGGTTTTCCAATGGTTCTCTAACCGATGTCACCTCGTGATGAAATCCTGTAACCAATCAAACAAAAAACCTTATAAACCAATACTTGAATACTAAGTTCTTCTGTTCGTCACTTACCCTTTCATCTTTTGTGCTTCTCTTAACTTTACTGTTCCCCTCTGCTACTACTTACCATAAAAATTTCTTCATTTCTTCTTATCTTATGTAGCGTGCAACAATTGATCTTGTTTTTTCCTGAAATAATGATCTCACAGTGTTTTTTACAGATGAAAAGAAATTTTTCAAGAAATAAAATTATTTGTACACTTAACAAGCTAAAAACAGATTGTTATTGTCAACTACTTATGATATTCCAACTTATTACTCTGGAAGAAATAGTTTCTCTGCATTTCCTTGATATTACTTAAAAGAAAATATTTTCAAAAGAATGGTTATTGAACAAATAATATTCTTTTCGATAACTTCTTCATCGCGTTCTACAGTTATATATACATAATAAATAGTGAATGAATTAGTATTATTAAAAACATTAATTTTGTTTAAATAACGATGAATAAGTAATAATAATACCAGTGGATTACAGTTCGATAGCATCAACATAACACTGCACTACACTGAATGAATATCATAAAAATTAAGAAAGATAATAATACAAATTCAAGAATTTATGGTGCCCACTGAAGGCCGGCCGGGGCAGTGTGGTAGTGACTGAATTTGCGTCTTTTGCACAAAAAGCACTGTTTGTTTCAGGCGAATCGTAACAGCCTCTGCTGTTTGGAGTATGAAGTACCTGGATGTTTTTGGCAATTTATTTGGTACCCGGTAGGTGATAGAGAAGGATCCTTCAATGTTGGCTTTTTAGCCTGTTTGGACCAGGTGGTCTAATATCGTACTGTTGATTGTTTCTTACTACACCTTTATTTAGCCACACTGGTAGATGTTCCCGAGCACGAACTATCGAACTGTAATCCATTGATACTTTTATTATTATTATTATTGATTAGATGTTATTTAAACAAAATTAATGTTGTTAATAACACACTAATTCATTCACTATTTATTATGTATGTATAACTGAAGAAGTTATCGAAAAGAATATTGTTTGTTCAGTAACCATTCTTTTGAAAAAATTTTAATGGACATTTATAATCAGTCAAAAGAAAATATCTTCATTAATAATATTCAGCTGATCAAAATGTAGTCTGCAAAATCTTCACTCGATGCATATTAAAATTCTGTGAATATAACATATTTTCAGGTTTTAATAATGCAATTAGAACATTTTTTACAGGATTAAATTTCATAGGTTTTTTGATTTACTGCCTACAGCTTCAATAATAAAAAAACATAATTTAGACATACTTTAAATGAATAACCAGTTGAGTTTAAAAAAGTGAATGTACAAATTATACAGGAAATTAGATTAATCAGTTATGACCAGAATAAAGACATCATATACTGCAGAGAGAAGAATGTTTCAAAATTTAAGGTTGATTCATTTATAAATGGAGATGGTTGCGCAATCATGTGAAAAGCTATTCAAGCAAAAAGAAAGATCAAAGATCACAAAGGTATTAATGAAACTAGTATAGAAATAAATTAATGCAAAAATGAAGTTATTTCATAAAATGGAATGAAATCCCGATGAATTAAGGTGAATGTGTCAGTGCTTAACAAGGTTGTATTAAGTTAGCAAAAGTCTCTTGTTGACACACCTAATTCAGGCTTTACTCTTCGGATGTGAACCTCTTCTGTTATTTGAAGTAGTCATGGAGCGCTTTGCCTCTTCATTGTATTTGAAGATTCTGCTATGTTGGTCTGATGTCTTGTATCAGCTAGGTGTCGAGACATAGCACTGTTAAGCAAAACTGAAGCTTTAAGATGTAGACTCTTGGGTATGTGTTGAATAACCTTCGTAGACAACTGCCTCTCCGTTCTACCTACATACTTGCTACTTCACGTGTATATGAGTTCATAAAATCGGTTGGAATTAACGAGAAACGGAAATTAGTCTAGTGTGGACTAGGCAACTGAACAGGTTGTTTGATACAAGAGGACCAATTTGGCAGCTCGATAAGTCCTCGATATTGCGTCTTTTATTCTTCAATTCTTTCTGCAATTTGATACCCTTTTCGATAGCACTGTATTCCGCCTTCCTCCTGCCAGATTTATAGTACTTGTCTATGAATTCTTTCGGATATTCACTGTTACATTAGCATTCGTTGATGAGATTGATCTCGCTTCTTGAAGTTTTTTTGGAGGAAAGCTTTCCTGCGTCCCTACTAAACCTCTCTTTTAGCCTACAGGATACAGGCTGTTGAAGTACAGGTATTAACCAGTCTCAGTTGTTTGATATATATATATATATATCAGGAAAATGATATCTCTAGATTTATTCAATTTGTGCGTTGGTGACACAGCGGTTAGGACTCCCGCCGACCATGCACATGGTCTGGGGTTCGATCCCCTGCCGACGCACACCCGATATCAATGGTCGGTCTGAAAAATTGGGCTACCGATATCACATGCTGAAAATTCGATACTTGGACCAAAAATGCCTGTGTGGAATCAAGCTATAATCAAAAAAATAAGAAAATAATTTGTTTTGCGGTCCTCCTACTTCAAAGTCGAATTAAGAGAAAAGTCAATGTTTTAATATTCGCAGTGGAAGAAATCCATGTGTTCCAATCTTTACTGTTCAGAGATGTTGGGGCAAACATCTTAGGTTTAATTCATGGTAAAACAAATGAACATTAGTTAAATAGTCAATCGTCTATTGACTGTCTGGTAGAGATTTTGAATGGTACACAACATCATGCACAGAAATTGAATAAGATTTATTTCCACCAATAGTAACATTGAACTGATTAATTGGCACAGTTCAAGAAGGGCCGAAGTAATGAATTAATGGGTCATAACTTTTAAGACGTTATAGTGAACACCAGCAGTCAGTGTGCTGTATATCCGACTGGTTTTCTTCTAAAAAATGTCTTGTCAACTATTCAGTTAAGCGGCTCAGATGATGTATATCTGTGTATACAAAACACGCTTAATTTGAGGTTGCACACAAGTGTTGCTGATGAGTGCTGAAAAAGTACAGCTAGCTCGATCTATCAAATCTTATTTTATTGAAATTACTTTGGATTTCATGTGGTTTTATTTTACTACTGGGAAATGCTACGCCTTTGTTAAAATGCCGACTCCAGTCAGTCAGTCAGTCAGAAGAATGAGGGTGCATCCAGCTGATGAGTCCCATACAAGAAGTAAGGCTTATCTTTTACTCTACCTCTATCCACTATCGAGTAAATAGTAATTTCGGATCTACTAACAGAATAATTAGTCATAAACAGTGATACTTTACAATTGTTTTCCAATTAAAGTTTGACGTTTCCTAAGCTGTGCAATATAAAAGGGCTTTAAATATCCATCATCGAACTATATACTCCCACCATATACAGTACTATGCGATGTTGAACGTAAAAGGAAAGGATTTAGTCAACATTTAATAATTATGTTAGTTCTAGCTTATTAAACAGTGCGAAACATTATATTCTTATTGTCTCCTTTAGTTCCTAGAGGAACATAGGGCTTCAGCCACACATCTCCATTGTTTTCGATTCTCTGCCAAAGTTTTCACCTGGCTCCACATCTGCCCACGTGTTTTCATCTCCCCTTCAAATGATCTCCTCCATGTCACCCTTGCACTGACGACCGACTCACCACTTCCCATTCCAGTTCCACTCGAGAGACTGGCGTGTGTTGTCACTTGATGGTTTGTTTTCTCAGAGTATGGCCAATTCACCTCCATTTCTTCTTGCTTATTTGTTGCACAATTGCTTCCTGCTGAGTTGATTCACTTCCAGAGATCCCTGTTGATCTTTTCCGGCCGTCTGATCTTCAGTAGTGAGCGAAGACAGATGTTGATGAAGGTCCGTAGTTCGTTTGAAGTGCCCTTTGTGACGCGTCAATTTTCTGATCCGTTTAGTAGCACTGACTTCACATTGGAGTTGAAAATCCGAATCATGTTTTTCATACTGCATGCTGTTGATCTCTACACAGATTTGAGAGTAGTGAAGGCTTGTTTTGCTTCCACGATCCTCTCTTTGATATCCTGATCAGTTCCGTCCGCCTGTAGTTGAAATGATGCTTCCCAGGTAGGTAGGTAAAGGAGGTTGCTTCTCTCAGATTTCTCCCATTTATGCTGATTGTTGTCCATTTGTGTTGTTGCTGTTGGCCGGGAATCTTCATCACCTCTGTTTCCTCTATGTTCACCTGAAGTCCTATCTTTGATGCTACTTCTGCCAATTCGTTGCTCTCCACTTGCATATCTTCCAGTTTGTGGGATATCAGACAAATATTATCGGAGAAATCCAGATCCTCCAAGTTTTTTGTATGGGTTCATTTTATGCTTGTCTCCTCGTTGCCCGCCGCTGTCTGTCGCATTATCCAGTCTACCGCAACCAGGAAAATCACCAAAGATAGTGAAACATTGTTAATGTTTAATTCTGAAGAAAAAGCAACACCTGATGAAGAGTGATTTTCCTTCTTAACTAGCATACCGGTGAAATAAACAGCCTATCCAAGTAATATTAGCAGTCTACTTGCAGAAGAAGTTCTCTTTTGTTTTCTGTCAGCTCTTTGACTATTCTCCTTCAATTTTTTTCGTAATATTTTATTTTCTTGCACTTAGAATACCCATCAGTTGAATATTATCTCTTATTCGTTTTCTTCAGAGGTTCTGTTTTATACTACTAGTCTGCATCAATTTAAGTAGCACACAACATATAGTTGTGTATTTTGAAAGAATATTACTAAAATGTAGTAGTAGTAGTTACTTACTACGCATTTTTGTATGGTATCATTAATTTTTAAGTTCATTTTTCTTACTAATGACAATTTTTATAAATATCGAACTTATTGTAGTCATGTGTTTTTCTTTAAAATTTAAAACTTGGTTGTGACTTCTTTCATCGTTTCTTTTTCTTTCTTCTTTTTGGAAGAAAGAAAACTGTTTTAGACTATGTACTCATATTATTTTTACTCGTGAAATAAATAATTGGCATGACTATTTCGTAATAATTATTAAAGTAATAGTACCGCACTGTGTTATACGTTTTCACATCACATGATTTGACCGTATTGTTGATAATATATAATCAGTAAGATTATATTTTCTCCTATTTTTCTTTTCTCTTGAAAAGATAATTAAATATTTCTTTTTGAAATCTGTTTTTGTCTATTTATCTATTTTTTTTGGGGAATCAAATCTGAAATTTATTCAAATCATTCACAGATATCTAATTTATTCTGACTTATAACAAATAGATTATAAATGCATTCACACAGATATAATAGTATTTTCAAGTATTGATTTGTAGGGATAAGATTTTTTCAAGTATTGATTTGTAGGAATTTGATTAATTGGTGACAGGATTTCATCATTAGTTGACGTCGGTTAGAGAACCGTTGGAAAACCTGGAAATACTTGTCAGCCGTTTCATCCTAGTCTGGGGCCTTTTAGCAGTACTCACCCGCTGGGCTTTGAACCTAGGATTTTCCGGTTACAAGGCAAGCTTGTAAATCATTCAGCTACTGAGACCCGATTCAATGGCCCATAAATTCTAACTTCTACCAATTCATGATTTTAGCGCGACTGGCACCAACCAATGTCACTGGCGGGAACTCCATCCTCACTTCCGACTGGATGAACCTCACTGCTCACGACTTTTCTAACTGATGTCATTCCGTAGGCAAACTCGTAATAGTATTTATTGATTTACTTTCCAATCAAACTGTTACATGTAGTTGCAATAAGATGATGATTTTTTTGTTGTCTTTTTTATTCACAGTATGGAGGGAAGTATTCTCCACCTTCCAGAGGTGATTGCATTAAAGAAAAAGTATAAAGCATATCTGTATTTGGATGAAGCACACAGTATCGGTGCTTTAGGTCAAATGGGTCGTGGTGTAGCAGATTATTTTGGTGTTGATCCACGTGACATTGATATTGCTATGGGTACATTTACAAAGAGTTTTGGTTCATGCGGTGGTTATTTAGCTGGTAATCGAAAGTTAATTGATTATTTACGTTCAACATCGCATAGTGCTGTATACGGTGGGAGTATGCCAGCACCAGTAGCTCAACAGATTATATCAGCAATGAGAATAGTTATGGGAAAAGATGTTCCTGGTGAAGGTGAACGAAGGTAATCATTATACTTATTGTTGAAATGATTCCCGTCTTCTAAAATTAATTTATATTTGAGTAAATATTTTTGGAAAAATGTTAGACACTTTGAATAGTCCAATCCTTTTTTTTTGTAAAAGTAAGCATGCTTATTCACAAAAATTATCAGCAGTCGAAAGTAAAGTTGAATTTATATACAACCTATTTCTGTTACGTGGGTATCATAGTTTCACATAAATACCCTTTATGTTTATGTTACCTCCCATGGAAATTTAAACTCAGTATCTCCTGCTTTAACCACTAAAAGTTGATTCATCAAGTTGGGGGTTATACATATTTTCATTATTTTCAGTTTTATTTAAAGCTTGACAGTATGTGTGCTAGACCTTTGTCTAATTGACTTACACAGTTACTTTACAGACCTGTGTCGGTGGCATAGCGGTTAGGACGCTTGCCGACCATGTACATGGTCCGGGGTTCGAACCCCGGCCGACGCACTCCTCTACCTAGCTAAGCCAGAAATAATGCTGGTGAAGAGGAAAGGTTGGGCATGAGGTTAGCAACCCCATCCTGTAAAATAAACACTGCTACAGAAACTTCAAGCCACTAGCTTGAAGCCCTATGTTCCACTGGGGAACGTGAAGGATAAAAAAAAAGAGACACAAAGCTTGATTCATATTGGCATTTAGTCGCAACTATTATTGTTTAAATCTTCCAACTTTTCAATAAAACTAAAATTGAATTCATCTGCTTCACTGGGAAATTAATTTCAAATGGTTACACTTTGAGGTAAAAAAAGAAACCATCACCAGTTCCTAACATCATTTTCATGTTTACATCTTCATTAATGTGTGCATATTCCACTTCTTTGTTTCGCATTTTGATTTCTTGCATATTTTTGTTCACTGTCATCAATATTATAATAATGTGATAAAAATCTACCAGTATTTTCATATTACTCGACTACAAATAAGCCATTCGAGAAATTTCATATTGAGCATCGGTGTTCCTCAGTGTCAAATCGTATAATGAAAGAAGATAGAAGATGTATAGCATTTTCTCCATCTGAATTACCTATATATCATTTTCGGATTGCATCACAATAAAATTTTTTTTTTTGAATTGAAGATAAACAAACTTATCAATGATACTTTATACACCAACATGTTAAGAATAAGTTTTTTCTATTATTGTACATTATTTCCATAGGTAGAGTAGAAGTAGTTATCCACCCATTCAGTAGGAACGGATAAGTATAGTGATATTTTAGATTTCGTGAATTTTAGAATGTTTTGTAAGTGTATATGTGCATTTTTTGATTGCATTTACTAATTACAAACTAATTTAGATATCCTGTCTATCTATTCCCAAGCATAAGGATTAAATATCTACTTAAATATGTCAAAGAAATAAAACGGATATGGCAAATAATTAGATAGAATCCTGTAGAAAAGTGAATTCTTATCAAATTTACTGTACTACAGAAAAAAAAGGTAAATCACTGGAAATAGAAAGTTGTCCTAACAAAGATTAAGAAGAATGTCAATGAACTTAAGTAAACTTGTTATATTTATTGGTCTTAAATTCAATATTGAGGTCAGTAGCTTATGTCATTCTGAATAAATAATCTAACTTTTACCTGTCACTATTCACAGTTGAACAATTTAATCGTGACCTGAGCTTCACAGAACGCTAGAATACGCACTGGCTTAAAGTGTATAACAACAACTAACCTCATTTACTGAGATGGCTATGTTTTATTTCAACTATGATTACCTTGTCAGCCTGTATACTTCTGTTAAGCTGTCATATTGCCATCTTTTTAATAAGCGCTGCTTGTGTTTTAGAAAGCTTCGACTAGTGGATTTTATTTTCACCTATAATATCAGTGAACATCGATCCTGCAACAAAAGCAGAAGTCTTGAATGCCATAAAGTTACTGAAACGCCGCTGGGAAGGTAGCAGGATCGAATGGAATTCCTCCGGAAGCACTTAAGACGGAGCCGGATATCTCATCGGTTTTCCGAATGCCACTATTGAAGAAATTTTGGAAGGAAGGAAAGGTACCTGAAGATTGCAAGAAAGGCAAGCTTGTCAAACTCCCAGAGAAAGGCGCCATTAACCTTTGTAACAACTGGCTTGGAATAATGTTGCTGTCTACCTCACAAAAGATACTGAGTCACGTCATTCTGTAGAGACTAAAAGATGTTCTGGATGAAAAACTCCACCTGAGACACGTTGGATTTAGGAAAAGAAAAATAATTTTTAGATCAAATTACAATGCCACGCATCATAAGACACAGCATAGAATGGCAGTCAAATCTCTACTTCAACCTAATCGACTTTGATAATGCCTTCAACAGCATCGGCCACAATGTGATTTGGAAACTGCTTCGACGCTTCGAAGCGCCCCAACCGTCTGACGTCATTCAGTATCAATAATGCCAGATGTGAATTAATCCACAACGGAAAACTCAGTGGAGCCTTTGAAGTGAATACGGGAGTCAGAGGAGGTGGGCTACTATCACAGATGATATTCCTTATTGTGGTCAACTGGACTATGTGGCACACCGTACTTGGGTAGTGAGAAGACAGAAATACATTGGACCGATAAGAAGAATCTAGGAGATGTGAATTTCGCAGATGATTTGTGTTTGACGTCATACAAACTCGAAGATCTATAGGTGAAAACTAACAGGTTGTCAGAAGAGGCTGGCAACGAAGACAGGACTTCAAGTAAGTGTGAAGAAGATGAAAGTGATGAAGAGACCTAACCAATAACAACAATCTCTAGTCACCATAAGCTGGGGGAACTTGAAGCAGGTCACCACTTTCACTTATCTAGGCAGCATCGTTGCGACTATCGCGTCGGTGGTTCATCAGTAGAATACTCACTTACTACGGAATCGGTCCGAGTTTCGATTCCCGGTCAATGCACTCCTAAACCTTGCTTAGCCCGTAGTAAGCCCGGTAAAGAGGGAAGGTTCGGCGTCAGGCTAGCAACCCCACTCCATAGCCGAAACTTGGAGCCCTATGTTTCACACTCAGAAAGCAAAGGAATAAAATAAATAATAAATCATTGCGACTACATATGGCACGAATGAAGATATCAAAGACGGGATTGGAAAGGTGAGATAGACCTTCACTAATCTGAAATTAGTTTTGAAAACTACTGCACTCAACAAAGAGAACACGATTTGGATTTTCAACACTAATGTCTAGTTAGTTCTTCAATGTGGTTTCAAAACTTGACGCATCACCAAAAGAACTTCGAACAGGCTTCAGATTTTTATCAACATCTCCATGGTGAAGATTAGATGGCCAGAAAGAACCTCAAGTGGAACTTGACCGGGAAACGACGAGCTGAGCGTTAGAGATTGACATTGATGGGGTCATGTTAAGAGGAGATGAAAGCAGTCCTGGAGGCAGCTAAAGACGGTTGCAAAAAATAGGATGAAATGTGAATGTACTGTCGAAGTCCCATGTTCCACTCAGAACCAAAGGGAATAAAAAGAGTATGATGCATATTTGGAATTTCGTCTACTTTCGTATATAACACAATTCAATGGCGACCAGATATATTTTCTCATATCTTTTCACGATTCCACTGGCAAACAGTGCGTCGGTGGCACAGTGGTTAGGACTCTCACCTGTCACCCATAAGGTCCGGGATTCGATCCGCTGCCGACGCACACCCGATATCAATGGTTAGCCTGCGAAATTGGGCTACCGATATCGCATGCTGAAAATTCGATACTTGCACCAAAAATATTGTGTGGAATCAAGCTATAATAAAAAAAAATGAAAATGCGAATTCTCCAATGAATAGTGGGATAAATAATGCAATTCATCTGATCCACTCCCTAAATTCAATCTACTCATATGATTTTTTCGAAATAATAATCTGAATTGCGACAAAATATTCATGATTATAATAGCAGATAAATACGAAGTGACAAAATAGGCTGTGATTTAATAAACCTTAGGAACGAATGTAGAATTATAAGCTTAATAGGTAATTAAAACACTACATAACAAAGTGGGAATTTCGATAATATCGTTAAAATAAACAGATTGCGTTAAACAAATGCAGGGTGACAAGTAAGATATTACCGGAAAGTGAAAATAATAACACTAGTCAAAAGAATAATAAATAAAGCGAACGATAAACAGGGCCAAGACGGATTAGAAAGAGATAGCCAAAGCTTCAGCAATACAAATGAGTCGAACACTTTATGGTTTTGGCTGGCTATTTTTTCGCCTTATAGATAACTTGACAGGAAGAGGTTGTGATGAAGATAAGATGGCCTGTGTCAATCAGATGTCCAGTTGTAGCTCCCCTTTGATCACTTCATAACCGCGCAGCATAATGTTGTTGTACTCATTTAGATAAAACCTGCGTTTAACGACCAATATACCTAGTTGTACAGAGGCAGGTGAACTAGTAAACACACATAAAGCTGGTTAACTGCGGTATTTTGCCCCTCAGGTTGCTGAACAGTAATGGTCAACTGGATGTTGCAGAGAGCATAATTTGTAGGGACTGTTAGAATTTTCTCTTAAGGATGTTGGTAGCTAAGTCACCATTGAATTAAAGTTTCATATATGGTATTTTCTTGGATACAGATGTCAAAACTCCTTTCATAGGTTGTAACTGTGTAATTTTGTCCATAAAACATGAGGAACATCCATTCTCGACTAGAATTTTTCCTAGAAGATTTCACTTTTCCACCACACCATCAGGACCACATGTACGCCGAATGACAGTGGTAAATGATTGAATCAGATTTCGTTTTTGCGACCAAGAGTAGCCCAGCTGTGAGAATTTACCAGCTGACCATAATTCATGATGGCTTTTTATGTGAATTAGTTACCTCACGGTTCCATTAATCCTCCTTGATACCTCTTGATACTTCAAGAAAAACAAAAAAACAAATATTACACTTGTTTTCCATTTCAAGTTCGAATGTTATCACTGGATGGCAACTATTAAATGCATTTAAATGCATTATTCAAATCTCAAAGTCATCACAAATAATAACAGCACCATCCGCTGCATACATTTTATACAACTGGAAATTTTGAACTGTCGGCTTCAGTGTGTCGATCATTCTCTAGACTGGCCATAACTTTGCACTTCTTTTTTAGATTTATACATTCCATGAACCATTTATTTTTCTTGAGTCGCACACCCTATTTTATCACTTTCTTTTTAACTATGATTATAATTACAAGTATTTTGTTGCACTTCACATTATTATTATTATTACTTTCAAAAATAGATCATATATTACATTAGATTGTACAGTTTGATAAGAAGATTTGCTGAGAAGAGTCCTCTCTGCCAAATCAATTGCTTTTTCTATTCCCACATGTCCCAATAGGGGGGGGGGGGGAGATTTTCATGAGTAACCATGATGTAAATGAACAACAGAAGAAGAACGCATAACTTTGACTCAGACTCATTTCCAACTGGAAATTACCCTATAACCACCTACTAGCTCAGCTACATTGATTAAGATAACATAATTTGAACCGAAATTCTTTAAACAGTTATTAAGTATGTATATATATATGTATATTGTATGTTCTGTGTAACTAAGACAACTCTAATAATAGAATTAAAGAATGTTGATATCAACAATAATTTCAAAAAATAATATCTGTTAAGATGGTATATATTAAACTATGATGCTATGAAATTATTTTTTGTTTCTTTCTTCAGAAACCGGTATCTATGGTTTCATAATATTTATTAAGGTAAAACAAACAAACAGAAAATTCATTTAAATTAACTGAAGGCATACCTTCTTTAAGATTATCATTATATTGAATGTATAAAACAAGTACAGATATCTTATAAAATACAGTCTATAATAAATAAAGATAATTTTTTAGCATACATTGTTGTATAATATAAATTAATAACGATTGTATTGACTAACAATAACACCAGCAGCAGAGTTAATATGATACATGAAGTGGAAATTTGAGAAAAACTCTAACAAAAATATAATACAGTTATTTTGTCCTTATAATATTATCAACATACTGTTTTGAAACTTTATAAACAAGCATCTTGTGAATTGACTTTGATTCCTTTATTTCTACAAACCATCAAAGAAATAAATTACTATAAATAGTTTATTACATGTGTGAATTTAGTCATTTTGAGCTAATTAGTGTTTTAGGTAAAGAACTACAAGACTGATCACCAACTGACTTCATTTAGAGAACTACTGAAATCTAATTGGTGGATGGTGACTAGCAGTGGAATCCAGGATGCACATTTCGTCTTATTTGGGACTCGTCAGCTGGACTCCACTGCTAGTCACCATCCACCAATTAAATTCTAACTGCATGCCCAGACATCGTCGAAGCATCTGCACAAGAAGCCGACATGTCAACCTGAGACCGAGCACTTCGATCCAATCAATCGACGCGAAAAGCTAAAATTCAATTAAATAACCAATGAAATCAATCAAATCCATGCAAACTAACACTTGAAAATTAGTCTAGTGCTCATTAGTGACTGACCACAGTGTGAAGTATGCATATCGCGAATTGGTAGGAGTCAGGAATTGTGAGTAACTCAGTTCCTTGCTACTTCTTAAATTGTCTAGGATCTCACCATGTAACCTGAAAGCCCTGGGTTCGATCCCTGGTAGGGTCATGGATGTGTGATGTTAAAGAGTCCCAAATATGGACGAAATAACTGTTCAGTACTTACTGGTTTTCAGTAATTCTCTAACTGAAACCAGTTCATGATTGATTTTGAAATAAATCCGCGCAAAGCAACACTTGTAAACCAATAGTTTTGCCCAAAATAGGTCGTCTTTGAATGTGTTACTCTTCTCTAGTAACTTTGTGTCTATATTTTTAAATCTGGTTATTAGTTTCTCGAGCGATTTATAATAATAAGAAAACTTTATTTAGCGAATATGCGAATATATTTCACAAAAATTCTCAGAGTATTGATTTCCAAAATACTTTTTTCGTCATACAGGATTCACATGTTAAGTAATAATCTAAAGTATATCTTCATTTCGCTGAAGAATTGCACAATGGTTACTTGAAAGCAAATAAAATCAGTGCGCGCGTTGATGTAAAGGTCATTTGATTTAACTGGACGATTAAAACAATGATGAATCCAGATGAAAATAAGCATTTTGGTGGAAATCGATTTCGGTAGCCCAGAAATTCAAGCAGGCCGCCTAATTTACATACTTCGTTGCAGATACCCAATCTTTAAATATTTGTGTTAATAACTGCAAATTAGGAATTACAGAAATAACCACTCCTCAACTGTTAATAACTACCTTTGCAACATTATTTAGACCTTAGAAACTTTCTTAAAATCCACATATTCCCCATAAACCAACCTCCTAAATAATAATTCTTATTACTAAGATTATTATTGACACTAAAAAACACAGTAGCGACTTAATTCTTTAATTTATTCAATTTAATTTGCACAGAACAACTATCATAGAATCTGACAAACTGTTGAATAAATAAAAAAATGCATTACTGTGATTAAATATGGGCAACTACAATGGAAATTATATTCTTAACCTTTTATATCCTTATATATTATATAAATTTCAGTTACAGGTAGTCATAATACCTTAAGCAAAATCTTCACGTTTGTATCTGAAGACTATTTAAACGATGAGTTGATTAAGTTTAGTGTAAAATGAAACAGCCTGATAATAAGCTTAGCTGTTGAGGCGAGTTAATCGACTAATTTTCTAGTTCGTGTCACTCAAGGCACCTTATTTTAGAAACAGATAACTTCTAAAATTGAAAGTTTCATCTGTTAACTTGAGAGTACTTTCTGTCTAAAAACCCAATATGACTTTCTTTTTTGAATTTTTTTGTTAATTCTAGACACATTATTCTCCATACTAGATGGAACTACTACTACTACTAAATAGAGTTTGAAGGACATTTTACGCTATACAGTTAACGTTTAGGAGTGTTATTGCACATAAACTATTCTGAAAGTTGTATTTACATCGCATAAGTTCTATTTCAGGACTACTTGATAAGAAGTCACTACATCAAAGTTATTTATTTGTGCAAACACTGTGCACTGTGAAAATGTAAAGAAACATTTCTGTAAATCTTTTGAATAATAAATGATAATAATATATGCATAAATATCTTGTCCCTTTTTATCATTATGATTATTTTAGACTAAAGTGTTTAGCTCAGAATACGCGTTATTTTCGTGCACGACTACATGAAATGGGTTTAATTGTTTATGGAAATCGTGACAGTCCAGTAGTACCAGTTATAATCTATATGCCAGCTAAATTAGTCGCTTTTTCAAGAAGATGTTTAGAATTGGGACTTGGTACAGTAGTTGTTGGCTTCCCAGCTACAACTCTACTTTTGTCCAGAGTACGTTTTTGTATTTCATCATCGCATACACGAGAATTACTAGATAAAGTAAGTTTTTTTTAAAAAAACATCTTATTTATTCCCTTTGTGTGGTACTGATATTGTAACTTTATTTAATTTTAAATAGTGTTACCTTGATAAATCCTTAAAAGTTTAAATTATTTATATCAAGTACCTATTGTAAGTTAATATAAATCCAGTTTGGAGCACCAACTGTGTGTATATTCAAATATGATGTAAGAAAGAAAGTCATTTTTACTGCCAATACATTACGTGTAGAGGGGGGGGGAGGTGTGTAAAGTCACCATTATTATGCCACCTTTTGATTTTGACAGCTTAATGTTTTATTGAATAAAATTTTTCTCAATTATTCTGTACCGCTAAGTCTTAGGGCTTTCCAATGGATACTTGCCAACTTGCGTCAATTTTGCTGCAGGCGTCATTTTTCAGTTTTCTTCTACTTCTTTACATTCCCGGTGGAACATAGGTTTTCAAACTAGAGTTTTGAAGTTTCGATAGCAGTGTTTACCTTTATGGGGTGGGGTTACTAGCCTTATGCCCGACCAACCTTACCTCTTTACCTGCCTTATTATAAGCGTTGAGAGGTAAAGGAGTGCGTCGGCCGGGGATTGAAACCCGAACCACATGCGCGTGGTCGGCTAGCATTCTGCCGCTAAACCACCGCTGCATGCAGGCGTAATTTAGGGGTGTCTAATAACTGATGCGTTTACTGTGAAGCAGTTCGCTCTGTTCTGCTTTGAGGCCGTGAGATATGGCAGTTAAAAGCGGGAAATATGAAGATACCAGAAGCTTTTAACTACATATGCTTCCATTCAGTCTCTTCAGTTAGGTTATCAGCAATAATGAGGTTAGGTGGAGAGTGTTAGGTATGGAGGAAAAGTCAATCGATGAGGCTGTAACGCTTCATCTGTTGATATAGACAGAACACATGTTACGCATGATGGGCAACTGTCTGTCTCGATGAACAATTTTAGCTGAAATACGTCTAGGGTGGGAAAGAGCTATGGGTAGTTAGATCATAGCATGGCATCAATCCATGAAGGCTTAAACTATAGGTTTGACCCACATAAGGAGGTGTAGACTGTGTGGCTATGATCCTCGGTATGGTAAGAATCAATGGTTGATGACTGATGGTGACATGGGTCAAAGTCATTCTAAATGGTGTATTAACTCTTTTTTATCATCCTGATTCGGAAAATTCTCGCAAATTTCACTCTAAACATTCTTCCTCCTGCACATTTTCGTGGTTTATATTTTCGTTACACCCCGTTTTCTATACTTTTGTATCTACGGCAACTTGAATTGCTAAAACTTGTGAGGATTCTGTCTTGATAAGTCAGATAGTCAGTCATATTTTGTATCTAATTTGAACTATAATCATATTAGAATACCAACTTTATTGTGATTGCCTGAGGTGGATAACATTGGGACAGTTCTTTCATGTATCAGGCTACGAGATACATGTATTGTGTAGTGGCCGGTGACAATACCCAATTGCCCATGTTGAAGCAGAAGGAGCGGAATTCGAACCCCGTGACCCACTAGGTGAAAGCAGAGTCCTTAAGCGACATTTCTATAAAATTATTATTCAATTCAACTGCAAACCAGAAACTGAATTACTGCAGAAATCGGTCTATATATGTTTCAGGTTAGACCACGGGTTGATATCAGTTAGAAAATCATTGAAAACCAGCAGGGAGTACTGGACAGCTGTTTCATCGTAGTTTGGGAAACATCGGCAGTACGCATCCGCTGGGTTTCAAAACCATGAAATTTCAGTTACAAGGCGAGCTGGTATAGAATCTGTACAAACCAATTCTCGAAAATTAATCTGATACCTGCTAGTGGTTAGCTACAGAACGAAGTTGATTGGAGCTCTAGTCAGAAGTCGTGACCAGCATCCATATCATACATGTTTGAACAGTTAAGAGACTATGGTATTCCTACTGTATATTAGCTAACGTTGAAGAATGAGTAATAATTCCACAATACATAAGTTTGTCTAACACACAGCGTTACACTATTTATAACTGGATTACATTTCTACCACAGTGCCCAAATTTTAGACTTAAATAATTAATAATGTTCCGTCGTTTAACTCTGTATTTAACCAACGACTGCAGTCTTGATTAGTGAACCACCATTTTAATCTGGAAACATAAATAATAACATCTCTGAATCGAATGTAAGTCTTGTTAAGAATAGTAGTTTCTCCAATGTTTAAGGTTTGTATTACTAATGCATATAGATAAAATAGGCGGTCCGCTTAAATCACTGGGTTACTGAAATTGATTTCCACCGAAATGGTCAATTTCATCCGGATTTGTCACTGTTTTAATCGTCCAGTTAAATCAAATGACCTTTACATCAACGCACGCGCTGATTTTATTTGTTTTCAAGTAAACGCTGTGCAATTCTTACACGAAATGAAGATATCTTTCAGATTATTACTTAACATATGAATCCTGTATGACGAAAAAAGTATTTTGGAAGTCAATACGCTGAAAATATTTGTACCACATGTTCGTACATTCTCTGAAATAAAGCTTTATTATTACTACCAAGGAATACGAAGCTTTTATTAGAACCTGTCCCGCATTTACTTTGAATAATTCATGACTTACAATGAATAGTTATTTTCTCTTGCCAAATTAGATTTTTCTTTTGTTTCTGTTTTAACCAGTTTGTTTTACTTTCTTATTACTGGTTAATTTTAACAGGCTTTAAGTATAATTGATCAAGTGGCTGAAGAATTAGGTCTGCGTTACAGTAAACAACCAATCCCGCAATGGGCTAAAGATATTCTAGACGACAGTAAAAAACATCCACCTTACATGAATGGTGTATTGAAAACTATTGAACCAAAAAATGAAGAATTCAAACATTCATCTGTACTGGATGCTGTGAATACTAAAAACAAGGTGAAAAAACGTTGTTTAAAAAGAGATGCCAATGAAAAATGCGGAATTAATACACACTTTTAAATTTGTAAGCTTGATTTGATGTGTTGTTTTCAATAGGATTCTTTTTCATTGTATTTGTTCTGCTTGAATCTATTACTGAATTCACGTTCATAATCAAAGACATTTAAATTCCATTCTAAAAGAAATCTGAATGAATTTAATGGTATGTATTACCCTTAGTTAGGCAGTGAAAACTCAAGACCAGCTGATAAGTATTGTATTCTGGTAGTAATTAGTTTTCTGTTACTGATTTCAGCTCATAACAAAATCTGTTTTCGAACCGATCAAATCTCCACAAAGCCAGTCTGACTCTAAAATATAAATGCATAACATGGAATAATCATATGCTTTCACTGCTGACCCTACTTCGCCATCTTATATCCTCTCCAGCCTATTCCCATGGTTACTGCTTGTTGTGTTCTCCCTTTTTTTGTCGGCCATCTGGTGGTTTCATAGGTGTAAACAATATACGTAATTCCTCAGTTCTTTTCTTCTTTTTTTGAAGACTAATATTAATCGAAGTATTGCGAATTTTCGAGATCTTTTGTTAGATAACATTTTAATGTCAGGTCAAATATCACACTGAGTAAAGGGAGAACAACAGTTTATGCAGAATAAAATAGTAATATTGTTTATTTCGTTGGCTTCTCATCAACTGCTTGCAGCCTTAAGATATTATTGAGTTTATGTACAGAAACAATTTTAACATACTCAGTGTATGCATACAATAGTAATAACACTAATAATAATGATCATTTTATTCCAAACAACAACAATCATACAGAATGGAATTTTCAGCATTACGTAAGTAAGACATTCAGTTACCAGGGAAAGGAAGGACTGATAACTGCTTCTTTCTGAACACATAAATCGGCTTTCAAGCGTTTGACAGAGATTTCTTCGGCAAATTTGAGTAGAATTGATCTATTTTGTCTATTGATAATTTTAAATGATTTCGCGACCCGTATCAAGGAGAATTCTGGTAATGGCACTTCAAATGTGTAAACACACATGTCCTCAGTTATAAGTATTCTCAAAACCATAGCAATAATTGTCGCACATATAGTTATCTTTACTTATTACAATAAAAAGTTCAATGTAAAATAGTGACCCCGAGTTGTTGTTGTTTTTTTTCTCTCTTTTTAAATTTCATAAGATTATGCTGCAGTTTAACAAATATAAAATATCAATGTGAATTAATTCACTGGACGTGAAGACTTTTTATAGATGAAAATCAATGGGGGTGAGATTAATCGAAACAGGAAAAGATGGATGAATCAACTTATAATGTGTATATTATTTCTTATGATTGATTATTCTATCTATTTATAATTCATGTATACTGTTTTTGTTTTGCTAAATCACATTTATTAATATAATATTATTGTTTTCCCCTTCAAACTTTCAATCATGTTAATTTTTTGATTTCTTGCTTTTTGTATAAGTACTTATAATATAAATACTGTTACTAAACTGTTCATCGTGTGTGTAGTTTAGGCATCTTTTATTTTCCATTCATTCACTGTTGATAAACTTGATCAATGACCAATACATTAATTCGATCACTTCCTTTGTATAAATATGAATTATAATGCTTTCACTGTTGTTGACAGTACAGACTTGTATCCCTTTTTGTATAGCTACTATTACTCCAACAAGCACACTTGTGATATAAAAGATATAGATAGGATTATACATCTTTCCCTACAACACTATCACTTGCTTAAAGCTTGCTATTATTTCTATACTTCATCCATTCTGTTGTAGGCATTCCGTATCTACCTGGTTTTGATTGTCTAATTTTAATCCCTTTTCTTAGCATCATAATTTCTGTGATACTGTTTTTTACCTGTAGGTCACTGTTGTTTTTTTTATGTGAATTATCTCTATCCGTTGGCATATGCTGAAGTACACAGACGTTTTGTTGTTGTTGCTGTTATTGTTGATTTTTCTTCTCTCTCTCTCCAATGTGACTTGACTGTTCAGTGTTACTTAGTGATTTAGTTTTCATCAAAAAGTAAACATTCTACTGCTCAGTAGTAGTATATAAATATACATATCTTTGTTTATTTGTTTGTGATACAATATGATTTTCTTTTGCATTGCCTTACTATATTTCTAATGTTCCTTCCTTCCTTTTTGTCTAAAAGTTGTCATACATTGGTTTATACTCTTTACCTCAAAAATATAAGTATAATTGTTTAACTTATGTGTCAATCGTGCTTATCATTCTGCTGTGATAATGACGACAATTTCTTTTCCTTTTAAATAACTTTAATCAAAAACATATCTTTCCTATTAAACTGTAAAAATTTCATCCAATATACCAATGGTTGTTGGTGTTACATTTGCACAAGTTGTCTATTTTAACCTTATATTTTTATTTGTAGATAGTTTTGTTGTTTGAAACATCTTTTATTTCACCAGATAAAGTTTGACTACTAACTAATAGAAAGTAGATAACTGTATTTTTGATGAAAAAGTATGTGCGTGATTATCTGTGTGTGTTGAAATGAATATATTGAGAAACGTAAGTGGACCTTAATCAATATTACTAAAAACTAAGCTTAGAAGGCTGTTTTGCAATGTGGTGAATGCCAGTGGTTTTTGTGTTTCCAGTGTATTAATTTTATAAGCATAACTTTACATGTTCACTTAATATTTGATTAAATTTTACAGAAATATTGTTAAGTTGAGAAAGGGAGTATGTTGCAGTGTTATAATATTATTTTAAAATCAATTCATATATGTGCATAGAAAGGTATATATCAGGCTATTTTCATATGTTAATTAAAAATCTACATATTGTAGATTACAGGCGAAAAGCAACAAACTGGCTGAAGAAGCAGCCAGAGAAGACAGGACTCCAAGTGAACATAGAGAAGACGAACCTGATGAGGATTAAGCAACCGACACCAAGAGCAACCAGCATCAATCACCATCAACGGGAGAGATTCGAAAGAGGTTACTTCCCTCGCTTATCTAGGAAGCACGAGTTCAACGACAGGTAATCGGAAGGGATGAAGATGCCAAAGCCAGCCAGAATCAGAAAGGTAATATACGCCTTCATCAATCTGAAACCAGTTTGGAAATCTGCTGCTGCACTCCGCCTCAGCATAAAGAACAAGATATGGATTCCGTCCAACGCAAATGTGAAGTCAGTCAGTCATTTCTTCTTAATGAGTCAGGAATTTGCACTGAGTGTCACGAAAAGGATTTCCAACAGGCTCTTTCAGACTTTCATCAACAGTTGTCTTCACTGACTCCATATTGAAGATCATATGACTGGCCACAAAGAATTAGCAACAAAAAGCTCTAGCTGGGAAAAAACCAACCAATAGCGGATCGCTCAACAAATATGTAAGAGGAAATAGAGTTGGATAGGGCATACATTGAGGGAACGGTCTAATGAGATCGTACACAATGCAGCCCACTGCTTGTGTAGAATCCAAATAAGAAGCCATGAGAAGGTAATGGCTTCGTGTGTGATATGGAGGAGATCGTGCGAAGAATGGGGTAAGAGATTATAGGCAATCGTGGACCCAGTTGAAGAGGATGGCAGAAAATAGAACAAAGTGGAGATGTGTTGTTGATGCCCTATGTTCCACCAGGAACCCATGCTAATAATAATATAATAATACATTGTAGCAGGCAAATATACTGAGAATGTTTTGTACTTGCTTTAAATACAATTTTCTTTTGAAATACTTTTGAGTATGCGTTGTTATGTAATACAGTTAATATAATTTGTGATACATAAATCTTATTTAATGTATGTTTGCAAAGTCACTGCAATGAGGTATCTGCTTAAAACAGTTAGATAGGCAGGTAGATTTGAATAAAAGTAGGGAATAAATATTGAGGAGAAAAGGATATCAAATGGGCGATAGTTAATTGATGAAAGATAAGCGTAATGTTGATATAAGACAGAACAACTATGCTTGAAAGTATGTATCCTACTGTGATCGATTTTGTGTCCTGTTAGCTTTAACTTTTAGCTGTTTATATTTAATATTTTCTGAATATCAGGAAGATAGCCTATAATATTATACAGGTTACAGTCACGACACTCCGTGAATATGTAAGTCATTACCATTTCCTGATCCGAAGTTTTCTTTTCCAGATTAATGATATCTCAACTTATAAGGCGCATATTAGAAGATATAAGTTCATTCGATAGAATACGTCTTCGACTTGTCTCCATCTCTGATAAGGAGAATCATAGGTCTAATTTTATGACTACTGACTCCATGATTCCATGAGATGTTTACATCCACTATCAAGACCATATGATTTGAAGCTCTACTTCATTTCTGGACACTATAAAACGTGAGTGGAATGTTACACAGTACAGTCAGTAGTCATGGTTACTTACGTTGACAAATATTGGAAGAACATTTTGCATCTACACTGACCAAGCCATTAAAGATACTTTGGCTTACTGAATAGGTGAACTTATCAAATCATTAAATTTAAATAATTCTGAAGCATCCTCTTAAATTTAGTAAGCGCAAAATTTGCTACCTTGACCCTATTTATTTTTCGTCTTATTTACTTACTCTACAAATCGTGCCCTTGTTACTTATTATTATTATTGTAATATTCATTTTGAATAAGTTCCTGTATTGCCTCTATTTAATTCAATATAATTCTTTGTAATATCGTCTTTTAGAGGCTGACGGTATCGACGTTCGCGAATTGTATGGAGTATACTAACGCAAGATCTTATACCAACAACTTCTAAAGTATTCGTTTCTCGTGTACAGAAGATAAAGCAAAAGACCAGATTTAGTCGTCCAAAGTACGTGATATATTTCGGGACCAAATCGCGGGCTGAAGTGAATGCTTAACTGGCTAGTGATCGTGCACGCACGTGACACGAGAGAGCACCAAATGGCAAAGATGCTTGACCGGAAGCCTTCAGCTAATCAAGTCGACTTAAACAGTGAGGGTCAGCATCTAATGTTGAGTGATGATTGCTGTGGTCAATAATTTTGGGGAATTATTTACCGCTACAGTCTTATCATAATAATAATAATAATCTGCTTTATTCCAGAAACAGTAAAAGTGGTAGTTTGGAATTTTCAGCACATATCTACAATATTTGCATCTAATTTTATCAAACATTTAAAAGGAGCATTTCAAAAAAATAAATATAAAGACACCAACAGCAAAAAAAACAGGAAAAACACAAAATAATTTTAAAAAATGCAAAAAAAATATCAAGAAGCAGAAAGGAAAATAAGCATCATATAATAATAACTCAGTATTGGGTAGTGGAAGCAATGATATGATTATGCATGGTGACAGTAAAGCTATAGTCATACAAGAAGTTATGAAATGATATTTAAGAAAGTTTATCGCTAAGTTGATCAGTTAATTTGGTCGAAACAACTCTAAACAATCATAAAATAACATTTCAGGGTTGTTTTTTCTTAGCAGGTCTAATGCGGTGTTTGTAGTAGTAGTAGTAGTGTAAGTAATCCTGCATAATACAAAATTTTTTAAGGTGGTGACAATGGTGTTCACAACCAATGGTTGTCAGTTTAGTAGTGCCGAAAAAAATAAAAATAAGAAAAATACAACCAGAAAACTAATAATTACATGATGGTTAATGACAGGAAAATTTTGTACTACTCATAGTGCTAATATAGTCGGAACCAGTAGATACACAAAGAAGGAATACAGTAAAGTACAAAAAGTAAGCCAATGTTAATAATTTAGGTAGTTAAGTATGTTTAAGAAGGAGTTCACTATAGAATACAGAATAAGAGAGAAATAAAAGAGCCTAAATTTATGTTATTAACAACAAAGCAAGTCATAGGTTTCACGCTTAACATTGTCGCTTAGAACACGGGCCAAGTATGGTATCGTTGAGTTCCTTTACTTGGTTGTGCGAGCATATATTATTTTATACTGATTTCTGGTTTTACTTGATGAGATACAAGGCGAGAGTTGGGAATAGAGGGGGTGTTGGGGGTCGGAGAGTATGGTTTTAGACCATTTTTCGCATGTATTCAGATGCCTTTCAACTAATGTAGTGACGAGCTGACTGAGTTTTACACCGCTAGTCCTAGTAACTACCTTCTCACCTTGTCGCGTTGCCCACCAATCTTATTAATTCTTTACTCAACCCATATGTAGTTAGCGGGATTTTATAAATTTATTCTGTTCGTCAGGTCTTTGAAAAGTGAGACATAAAGTAATATGTGACGAGAATAAGAAGTGATTTCAAAAACTAATTTAGTGCTGCTGAAGTTAGGTGGTTCACAGAAAAAACTCAAAGTGACTTAGGATGATATTCATAGTTCTTCAGTTGTTTTGAAGAAAAATAATGGAGATAAATCAACCAACGTCCACATCTTTCATGTAAAATGTTATGATACTGTAGATTTCTCAGGAATAGGAAATCAAACAAATCACATTTTAAATATTTTAATTCACCATCTATATACAGCATCAGTACATGAAATCTTTTTTCTGAAACTGTTTGAATATGCATAAATACGTCCAGTGGTATATTTCTTTTGCAATTAGTTTTGTTCTCTGAGCTGGTTGGTTGAATCGCAGAGCTTTCGTCGTCCTTCTGGACAACATCTTCAGCGCAAGGTATAGCATAAAATGAACTGATTTAGATTCTCCATGAATGATAGAATTGTGTCTCCTGGCAACCATCTTCGTGACTGGTAGTCGATTTACATCTGTATTGATCATTTTTTATTGACTTGGAATTCGAAGTTTCTCGTCACTTGATTTACTTTTTATCAGTTGGTAAATTTTGTCTATATTAACATGTTTGTGAATCGCTGATTCGCTTGAGTGCTAGGCTTCTAGGAATTCTCTGGCACTTCTGGTGTTTCCTCAGTTTAAAATTTCGACTTTATCCGAATCAAATTAGTGTCCATAATTGTCTACATGCATTGATATAAAAGAATATATATGGTGTCTTTTCACAGCTAATTTATGTTCTTCGATTCTGATTCGAAGGGGATGCACACTTTGGCCGATGTAATGTCTGTTACAGTTCATACAATTTATTTTGTAAATGGTATTAATTTTATCTTCTTATTTTGTTGAGTCTTTCGGTTTGCACAATATCGAATGAAGTGTGCTATATCTATTTTAAAAGGTTTCAATATTCTAGCTGTTATTTCAGAGATATTTTTTTGATGATGGTTTCTTGTTGGTGTTATGACTTGAGTTTGAACACTTTTTGATGAAATTGTGAGGATATCCATTCTTTTCGAAGACGGTTAGTAGGTATTTTCGTCCATTCTCTTCAAGACTGAAGTGCTACAGTGTGTTTGAACTCTTTTAAACAATGTCTGCATACAATTTCTTTTCATATTTTGTTTAACCTTATATCTGTCAACTCCTTAATATATCAGTAATCAGACGTTTCGTTTTTCAAATTGCATGAAATGAAACAAATATGTGGAATTTATCGAAAATTATCTCCATGTACAGTGATGTTGGTAAACAGACAAACAACAACCAAAAC